CAGCCGCACAATTTACGGAATGGCCGACTCGTTGGCCGCAAGAGAATCGGAATTATCGGTCGCCTCGTTGACCGACGGAACTTGCAGCACCGACCGGCTCGTCAGTCGATGCATACACAGCCGCACAATTTACGGAATGGCCGACTCGTTGGCCGCAAGAGAGAATCACCGATCGGCTCGTCAATCGGTAGATTGCAACAATTCGACTGGTCGCCTCGTTGACCAGTTGGAACAGAAAACTCTAATTTAGCTTATTTAGTCCTGAAAGGGACTGTTGTTCGATGTACTGCTCGTCTTAATAAAAGGGTTTCAGCTCCACTTTATTTTAGAGATGTTGACGATACAAAGGTTGATGTTATAATGAATAAAAAATAATATGCCCGCTCTATTTATACCCTCTCCCGTTCGCTCTCTTCCCTGCCATTCGTCGATGGCACCGACCAATTGATGCGTACTACTTCCCTCACATTTCCCCTTGCCCGCATAGCTTTCCCACTCCTTCCACTCCCCTTTCTCATTGATGCCGTGTGTTATTGTTCGTCACGAACATCCTCCCACCGGTTGGAATAGCATTCCAACTACTCGTCATGGTTAAGAATCGGCAGAGGTGCCAGTTTGCTAACTGCGCGTCGAAAAATGCCAGTCGTTGTCTTCACGTCAGCTACCCGGATGCGACCGTCCTTTCCTGGATGAACTTGAACAATTCTTCCCAGCTTCCAGGATTGCACGGGTTGATTGTCTTCCATCAAAAGAACAACGGTGTCGAGTTTCACGTTTGGTTGTTGCTGTGTCCACTTGGCCCTTGATTGAAGCGTAGAAAGGTAGTTTCGAGTCCACTTTTTCCAAAATTGATCTCGAAGGTGGTTGAGATATTGCCATCTCGACAACCGGTTTGTTGGGACGTCATTTAGAGATGGCTTCAAGATTGGCTCCAAAGGTCGCCCAAGCATCAAGTGAGCCGGAGTTATCGGCAGCGGCTCGTTTGGATCTTCTGACAATGCATAGAGGGGTCTGGAATTAAGAATAGCTTCGATGTGAGTTAAAACGGTTGAAAATTCTTCAAATGTCAAGACTGAATTCCCTAAAGCCCTTGTCAAATGTGACTTAACGACCTTAACACCCGCTTCCCACAATCCTCCAAAATTCGGAGACCTTGGAGGAATGAATTCCCACTCAATTTCCCTTTTCAACATAGAATCATTAATCTTCGTTATGGAAACGTCATCACGAAACATGAGAAAAAGTTGATGAAGTTCCTTTGAAGCACCAGCGAAGTTTGTGGCATTATCTGACATAATTTTGCGAATCAAACCACGCCGATTAATAAATCGATCTAGTGCAGCGAGAAATGCCTCTGTAGTCAAATCAGAGACCAACTCAAGATGTATGGCCTTTGTAGTAAGGCACACAAACAATGCGATGTATGCCTTGACATGTTTCGGTTTGTGTTTGCCTTCTTTAACTATCACTGGACCGGCATAATCGACTCCAGTCAGTTCGAAAGCAGTGGCAGCGTTCACGCGGTCCGCTGGAAGATTTCCCATCAATGGTTGTAGTCCTCTTGGTTTGACCTTGAAACACGGAACACAACTCCGCGTCACCTTTCGAATAGCTGAACGAGCATCCGTTATCCAGAACCTTTGACGAACTACTGCGAGCAACCCAGATGGACCGTCGTGGAGCCTTTCTTCATGGTACTGACGAATCAGCATCTCCGTTACTCGATGATTTCGTGGAAGTAATATCTGATGTCTGGCATCGAATGGCAGCTTAGAATTTTGAAGTCGACCTCCGACACGTAAAAAACTTTCCTCATCGATGAATGGCTGAAGAGCCGCCAAGCGTTTTGGCACTTCATTACGTTGTATACACCGAATCTCTTCACGAAGCTCTGTCTGTTGTAAAACACGCACAATGAATCCCATAGCCCCTTGCATGTCCTGCACCGTGATCCTGTGACAAAGACTGCGTTTCTCCTTTGGCGTTCGAACAAGACGGATAAATCTCACAACTTGCGCCAAGACGCGTTGCAACTTGGAAAAGGAACTGAACCGATCTAGCACTGGCTCACTTTCCACTGTTGCCATTGAATTTGATACCATGGTCTCTCTTAACTCTGGAATCAATTCTTCCGGATCATCTGGTGTTGTTTCAACTTGGTAATTCAGCTCACGTAAAAACAGTGGACCATTCCACCACATATCACAACCATTCAAATCCCCTGGAAAACAGCCTCTGGATACAATATCAGCGGGATTCTGCGCAGATCTAACATATTCCCATTGGTAGTCACTCGTAAGCTCGTTTATTTCCAATATTCGATTTCGTACATAGACTTGTAGCTCGTCTACATTTTTCTTCCTCCATGCCAACACAACTTGACTATCCAACCACAGTTTAACATCACGGAACTCCATCTTCAACTCTGGAATCACCTTCGTAATCAATCTTGCCAGCAACAGCGCCCCACATAGTTCAAGTCTTGGAATTGTAGATCCACGAATAGGAGCAACTCTTGACTTGCTACAGAGAAGCCTTACTGAGGTAGTCCCATCCTTTCGAACGCAACGCAGATAAACACAAGCTCCATACGCTGTCAATGACGCATCCGAAAACCCGTGAATTTCCACTAGCTCAACCTCGGCAACTACAACACATCTCGGAATTCGAATCTCGTTCAGCTTCATCAAAGACCCATGGAACACCTTCCATTCAATCAGCAAATCACCTTCCAAGGAATCATCCCACCCCAATGAGCTCACCCACAGTTTCTGCATAATCACTTTGGCTAGTACTATTACTGGTGAAATCAGCCCGAGAGGATCAAATAATTTAGCAATCTGGGACAAAATGTATCTTTTTGTAACCTTAAAGTCTTCTGGTACAGGTTCGAGTTTTTTCGAAAAAAGAAACTGATCACTATTTGGATTCCACAAGAGGCCCAGCGTCTTGATTGTCTCGTTCGCACAACAGTCTTCAATTGGTACTAATTTTTCTCGATGCGCGTCTGGGACACCCTCAAGCACTTCTTCATGATTAGAACACCATTTTCTCATTGGGAACTGACCCTTCAACATCAATTCCTCCACATCTGCTCGCAATTGCTTAGTAGCTGACAAAGTCGATGCACCAGTCAAAATATCGTCCATATAGCAGTCTTCCTGGATCACTATTGCAGCTTCTGGAAAATTGATGCTCTCATCTTTCGCCAACTGGACCATTGATCGAACTGCTTGGAATGGGGCAGCTGAGGTACCGTAGGTGACCGTTGCCAACTCAAATACCTTCAGCCTCTCACCTGGATTGTTGCGCCAATATATCTTCAGGTATCGTCTATGGCTAGGATCCATCCTCACTTGCCTGTACATTTTCGATGCATCGGCCGAAAATACATAAATATGTAAACGAAATCTCAAGACTACGAAGAACACTCCCTTTTGGATTGTTGGGCCGACCATCAAAACTTCGTTCAAGGACAATCCGTTTGCCTTGGCTGTCGCATCGAACACAACACGTAACTTAGTGCTGCTACTTGTAGGTTTCAGCACAGCATGGTGGGGTAGAAAATAGGATTGCAGACCTGATGGATCATCTGTTTCATTCACCTCGTAGCAGTGGCCTAGGGTTCCATACTCATCAATGAAATCTTGATACTGCCTCTTCATTTCGGGATTTTTGGATAGTCGTCTTTCGAGTAGAAAAAATCTCTTCATCGCTAATTGCCTTGAGTCACCTAGCAGATCAATGTTGTCTCGAAATGGCAGCTGAACAACGAATATTCCGTCTTCCTCTCGACGATATGTACGACAAAAATGGTCTTCCACTTCACGTTCTTCGTTGGTCCAAGAGTTTGTTTCTGGTACCTCCTCTTGATCGAAAAATCTCTGGATACGCTGCTCCAAGCTATCTTCAGAAGTAATGCACATCACAGTAGCTTCTTCGCTTTCATTCCTTTCCAGCACACCAGCAACCACCCATCCGAATTCCGTGTCGTACAATGTTGGAAGATTATTCGCCAGCTTCAACTGAGCCTGTTTCAAAATCGCGAAAAACAGCTCAGCACCGACCAAAATATCCACTTCACAAGGTTTGTTAAAATTCGGATCAGCCAACACAACTCCAGGAGGGAAATTCCAATCGGTCACATCAACAGGAATGCTAGGAATTCTGCCTGTTACCCTGGGCGTTACCAAACAATCCACATTGCTCATGAAATCACTGTAATCGGAGGACATCCGCAATAAAACTCGGTGTTTGATATGAGATTTCACTCCTCCTACCCCGACTACTGGAACATTGGTGGCATACTTCGGAAGTGCCAATGCCTTTACGGCAGCTTCAGATACAAGGTTGACTTGAGATCCGGAATCAAGCAACGCACGAATTTTGTGAACCTTTCCACTCCTCGAAGCTACGTTTACCAAGGCTGTCATTAACAGAACCTGCTTGACTTGCTTATGAATGCTTGAACATGGTGCGGATACAGGGTTCTCTTCAGTGGCAGGAGCATCATTCACAATTACTGGTTGTGTGTCGGACTGAATTGTATTGGAACTGGACGACGGATAATGAAGCATCGTATGATGTTTCTTAGAACACTTCGAACACGATTTGTCAGATGAGCAGATTGCACTTACGGAGGCAATTAAAACAAAGATTTGCTTCTCTCACCTTCACAACTCTCTCGTCAACGCTCATGTTCAAAAAAGATGGACACTTGTAATTTAGGTGTTGTCCCGAGCACAAATCACACAAAATATCGGATGGATTCGCTGTAGCTACATGAGCATTCCGCCATGACGGAGTACTCTTCGTAGGGATTGGTTTGGAAGCTCTTTGTATATCGGTCTTGTCTGCTTCACACCTTTCTAGCACTTGACAGCAGTTCTTAAGAAACTTCAATGTTTCCCCAAGGTCTGGCAATTCTCCATGTTCCATAGTCTGCTCCCACTGTTTTCGGGTATCTCCATCGAGGCACATTGTCAGCAACTTCGTCACAATTAAGTTAGCTGTTCCTTCAACGGGATGATCCATATACCGCAATCCTTCCACATGTCTATTGCAGGTATCGAGCAAGTTCCTCAGCTCCTTGAAATTTGATTTAGCGATCGGCTTCATATTTAACAAACCGGTAATATGTGTATCGATAATGACTCGTGGATTTTCGAATCGCTCCTCTAGCAATACCCACGCTCGCTCATAGTTATTGTCGTTAATAACTTGGGCATCCAATATACCGGAAGCTTCTCCCACGAGAGCTTTGTCCAAATAATGGAGTTTTGTTGCATCGGAATCACCACATCTTCCGATAAGGTCGTTGAATAATGCCTTGAATTTTGGCCACTCCTCATACTTCCCACTGAATGTCGGGATTGGTGCTTTTAGTGGCTGTTGTTGAACTATTATCCGTTGAACATCCTTCCTCTCTGGATCATCTCGGAAAAAATCTATTAGCTGATTCAACTTTACCAAAGCATCTGTATGCAAAGCATCGAATTCCTCCATCTTGGTGTCTTGTTCCTCCATCTTTCCAGGTGAACAGATCGACATAACCTCATCGTGCTTCTTCGTATATTCAGCATAGTGGATTTCAAGTTTCCTTTCCAAGGCTTTGAGCTGTGCAAGGCTCGTGGTATCGGTATCCTCGATAGCTTGATCCAGCTTCTTCACAATGGCAGAAACTCTTGCTTTCACTTGACCCCGTTGATGAACAATTTGCTTCAGCTGTTCCATATTCTCTGGGTTTGAATTTACCACTCACTTCACAAATCACTCTTCTCACGCCTTATTCAGTTTTGTTATCACCGATATCAATTGTTCAATATTCACGAGACACTAATACGCGAACGCGACGATATTGCAAATCGACAAAACGAGCCGACCCACGCACCGGTGTGGAAAACGCGAAGCGCACTCAAAAACAATTTCTGATATCAGGAAATAGGATTCACTGTTCTTTTTGGTTTCAATTTATGAAATATTGTTCAATGGTTACTCACGGTTTAGATGACTCTTGACACTCTTGGACAACCGGGGACTGTAAGCCGGTTGGATCTCTCACAGATTGTTATCCGGTTCGGGATGAACCAAATGTTGAATACGAACTTAACCGTGATTCCACACGGCTACCTCACCTCAGTGAGTAGGACGATCTCACTTACCTCAGTCAGAAACCGTAATCCATACAGTCACTAACCGTCTCGCCAAGGAATATCAATCAGCAGTCGTGTCCCACACGACCACCAATGTACCCACGCACTAGCGACTCACACTCGTAGAGCCACCGGTTGGGATCTCTCGAAGAACGGCAGCGGTCGTATCCCTACGACCACCAACACACTCACACTGAGTCACTGCCGGAGGAAATCCAAACACGCACTGTCGTGTCTCACACGACCACCAAACACACCGGAATTATCGGTCGCCTCGTTGACCGACGGAACTTGCAGCACCGACCGGCCCGTCAGTCGATGCATACACAGCCGCACAATTTACGGAATGGCCGACTCGTTGGCCGCAAGAGAATCGGAATTATCGGTCGCCTCGTTGACCGACGGAACTTGCAGCACCGACCGGCTCGTCAGTCGATGCATACACAGCCGCACAATTTACGGAATGGCCGACTCGTTGGCCGCAAGAGAATCGGAATTATCGGTCGCCTCGTTGACCGACGGAACTTGCAGCACCGACCGGCTCGTCAGTCGATGCATACACAGCCGCACAATTTACGGAATGGCCGACTCGTTGGCCGCAAGAGAGAATCACCGATCGGCTCGTCAATCGGTAGATTGCAACAATTCGACTGGTCGCCTCGTTGACCAGTTGGAACAGAAAACTCTAATTTAGCTTATTTAGTCCTGAAAGGGACTGTTGTTCGATGTACTGCTCGTCTTAATAAAAGGGTTTCAGCTCCACTTTATTTTAGAGATGTTGACGATACAAAGGTTGATGTAATAATGAATAAAAAATAATATGCCCGCTCTATTTATACCCTCTCCCGTTCGCTCTCTTCCCTGCCATTCTTCGATGGCACCGACCAATTGATGCGTACTACTTCCCTCACATTTCCCCTTGCCCGCATAGCTTTCCCACTCCTTCCACTCCCCTTTCTCATTGATGCCGTGTGTTATTGTTCGTCACGAACAATCTCTATACGGAATTACAACAAAAAAGCAACTCTTAAAGGATGCTTTAGAGGAATTCGCTTCTATAGTTGAAAAATATGAATATCGACTTCCAATAGAGCAGTGGAATATATTGACAGACGATTTTGAATTCGTAAAAACAAAAGTATCGTTATCTTTAAAGATACTAGATAACACAGCTATAATCCCTGAAAAAGAGCATAACAAAGACAGACGTCATTCGGAAACTTTTCTGGAGATCGTCTTACCGAAATACAAACACAACGATTTAGTGGACTTAGAAGACTCAAGGATTCTCTCTTCAACCCAAACAGAAGAGGAATTAGAATCCATCAATCAGTCTAGTTTTCTGGAATACATTGAAAAACTAGAAACAGAATACATTAGGGATAGTTCTGTTATTAATAATTACACAAATAGGCAAGACAATACCAATATCCAGAAAGTAATAAGAGACTTTCAGAGAAATAGCCGCCTTTTTAATCGATTGCTTAAAAAACCAATCAAAATGGAAGAATTTCCAACGGAAAGAGCTATTCAATGCATTCCAGAGTTCAGAGGCGCGGCCTTGGAACTACCATCGTTCCTATACCAGTGTGATTTCTTTGCTAAGAAATTGCAAGTTGAAGAATCGCATGAGCCTTTAATTCAAGTGATTTTAATGAAATTAAAAGGTCCTGCATCTGGGTATTTCAAACGCATTTATGCAGAAACATGGCCCGAAGTAAAAACCAATCTCGAAAAAGAATTTGGGACAAACGTTAAACTGGAAGAAATATTTCAGAAAATTGAAACTTTGGAACAAGGACCAAATGAATCCTTTCAAGGTTATAAAGATAGGGCATTAACATTAAAAGAACACGTAGACGAATATGAACAGAATAATGCCGAAGGCAGAGAGTCATATGCGCTACGAAGTTTAAGGATACACTTTTTGGGAGGATTGAAAAATAGAAACCTGAAAAATATGGCAAAAACACAGAAGCATAACACCTTTGAAGAACTAGTCAAATATTTACAGGATGAGTGCATAGACGTAGAACAAATTGAAGACATAGAAAAAAGACTTCAGTGTATTCACATCGCTGAAAAATCAAAATCCCAAAGGAACCGGAATAATTGGGATATTCATGTAAATCAACCCAAATATTTTAACCAGTACCATCGGAACGATCAACAAAATAATTCGTTTGATAGAAAATTCAGACCTCACGGAAATTTTCCGAATAATTTTGTTAGGTCTAATCAAAGACCGATCAATGGAAATCAAAATGGTTACAGAGGCACGAGTTACGAATACCGAGAAAATAATAATTTTAGCAGAAATATGAATAACAATAATTCACCGAATAGGTCAGACAATTACAACAGGAATAATAACGGAAACTACAACAGAAATTTCCAAACTGACAACAACAACAGAAACAATATACAGGACCCTAGGGGGAATTGCAGTAGCAGAGATAATTTCAACTCAAGACAAAAAAACTAAAATTCGGGAATCCTGGAAAGACACATGTTACAGATTCCCAATGTTTTCACGCTGGGATAAGATTTGACCCAGTCATTACAACAAAGCATAAATATCCAATGTTCGGCGGAAATAACGGGGATTTCTACTGGTATATGTCAACAGCAGAAAACCCGGAGTTCTTTTGCAGATACTATTTTAACACAAGTAAAACCGAAAATTTTATGCATAAAAGTATAGCATTGAAAGTGGGAGCAAAACTGATTAACCCACTTAGTGTGGCATATACAGAAATAGACGGAGAAGAAGAAGAATCATTTGGAGACATTTGGGTCAATTTAAAAATAGGCAGAAGTAACATACCAATAAAATTTAACTTAGTTCATAATTTAGCTGTACCAGCTACGATAGGCACAGCATTCGCAAGAGATCATATCGAAAGTATAGGTGGGAGCTTCAGATTTGCAATCTTCAAAAGCTTCTCTCATCCTATAAATAAAAAATATATTGATTATATACATAGAGAAAGTAGTGTGAAAGACATTAAACGATATGTGGAAATTGAACCATACGTTTTTAAAAAGGACATGGTAGGAATCACAGCGGATGAAAATATAATTGAGAGAAATAAGGAGCTCTCAAGTAAAAATAGTCATGAAATAGAATTTAATTTTCATGCAATAATGGGGAAACAAAATAAAAATAAGCAATATAATAACCGCGAATCACCCCATTATAATATAATATCAAATAAAATAGCACTTAAAAAAATCTATTCTAGAGATAACTTATTTTTTGTCGAGATACCTACATCTAATAACCCCGCATATAGGCTGAGATGTTTACTCGATACAGGTTCATCAGTAAATCTGCTCAGATATGAAGCAGTCAAATCGCTAAGAATAGACCAAGTAAATACAAATGATACTATAACAATAGCGGGAATTGGAGGAAATACAAAAACAATGGGATCAGTTAATATAGGTTTAATCATAGGAAACATAGTATTCCCAGGAAAATTTTATTTAATGACACATTTATTAGTACCATGTATACTCGGAGGAGAGTTCCTTCAAAAACATGTAGCACAAATTGGAAGAAATTTTGAATATGCTATTTTTGAGCTTGACACTTGCAAGAAAAACTATAAAGAAGACGAGTGTAAAGATTTTACACAAGTCCATACATTCAATGGAATGGAAATAGATGACCCGTCGGAAAATGATTTTTATCATGAAGAATATAATGAAGAAGGAAGTGAATATGACGACAGAGAAATATTGGACTTAAATTCTGACATAGACTACGATATTGTCAAATACAAAAATATTAAAATGCTTCAAGGACACGAACGATATAATAAAATCTTCGAACAGATCAAACTTGATCATTTATCACGAAGCGCTTTAGAATCAATTGAATCAATTTTAAGTAATTTTAGTGATGTGTTTTTTCTTGAGGGTGATAAACTGACCCACACAGATGCGGCAGTGCACGAAATAGAAACTTCAACGAACGTACCCATTAATAAACGGCAATACAGATTCCCAGAAGCAACAAAAAAGCAAATTAATGAAGAAATCGAAGAAATGTATAGGCAAGGGATCATCAGACCAAGTAAAAGCCCGTGGAATGCACCAGTCTTGTGTATACCAAAAAGGGACTTGGATGCAGCTGGAAATAAGAAATATCGAATTTGATAGTTACTACTTTGTATGGTTGAGGCGTGTAAGAAGTGCTTTACCTACCTTGCCATTCAGGGTCGTATATACAATTGATCTCCAGGAGAAATTGCAATGGGGCAGAGTTTCATCCCAATTTTGGTGGAAAGGCGGAATTTACAATAAGATGGCGGAAAACAAGATTTTCTTTACAAAACAAAATTTGAATACATATTCAGTTAAAGTTTAGACGGCCAGACATTTTTATTTAGACAAAACCCAGATAATTAGGAAAGCTGGGCTTCTTCTTTTTTTTTGGTTAACCTTTACGCATTGTTCGAATTTCGTGAGCTCACCGTTGCGGCCGTTTGATGGTCGACATGCTGGGACATCGGGACTGACTGCTACCGTTGAATCTCCGGAACACAGCGACTTCTTCTTCTTCTTCTTCTTCTT